TTGTAGCGAATGGCCATTTAGTGACTTGGGGTCACCTAAATATATGTGTGTATACATATTTGCAGTGCTCCATAGTACTTTATATGTATATGAAGAGCAGAAAATAATTTAATTGATTTTGGTTTAAATTCATCCTTCCTCTAAGAATGTTTTTTACATCGAAAATAAAATACGAAATTTAATCATTTAAAATGACTAAAGACATAGCCAAGAGTTAGATGCGTGTTACCGGTTTACATACCGATCAGTGATCACACACAGCAGTCAAAATCAATTAGATCAATGCTTGATAGATATGACTTTCTTTATATACATACATCTATGTAGTATTCTGTGAATAAGCATATCGTCTAGATGCTCTAGGAATATTTCTGCATCAAAAAGAAAATTTTGAAAAAAATGTCGCTTACGTTATTTTGGCGGTTAGGGCTCGATATTTTGTTTAGCTCCCAAACAACTAATTTTCTAATGCAGTCATCTGTTAAAGTAAAATTTTCTAATGTTCATGAAAGGTATGTAGCCTTCGGCATAACCGAAGATAGCGCTGTTCTTACTTGTTTGCGCGATATTTCCGACCACTTCTTTGAAACTAGGTTGGATGGAACGCACTATTCACTCATTTTGAACTATTAAGCTGCAGTTAAAGTGGGTGTTATGAATTATTAAATTTACTTCATTTATGTGTAACAGCGCTGTTATCTCTATTCCCCAACAATATTTTTTGTTAAAACAAAAAACAACTAAGAAAAAGACTTTTGTGAATAATATTAAAAATGCTTTATTTATTTAAAAAAAAATCTATTTTTTATGCAAATATATTTTTAGCATTGATAGATTCTATTCTACATACAAGTTTGCCAGTACAATTTTCAGAATAAATTTTATTTATGTTATGTTATGTTAGAGCAAAATTCCACACTTGCCGCTCTCTCATCTCTCTTCTCTTTTGCTAACGTCTGCAGTATCAGTGGTGAAGCGCTTAAATTGAGCGAAAGTTAAGCGCGCCATGTGTCGGGTGACAATCACCGCACTCTTAGAGTTTAGCCAAACAAAGCGTGGTGGGCCGCGCGGTTGAGAATAATGCAATTTCCTATCCAAAGAACCCTTGGCAAAGTCATTCCGCCGAGAAGTACATTCGATGCGAACCCAATTCCTGGCCTTTAGTTCCAATTCCCTTGCCACATAGAAGTGTATCCACATTCTGATAAGAGCTCTAACGTGGTTTATTGTTGTTGGTATCGGACGACTCGCAGCGCACTCGACTCGAGAAAGAGGTTCGTTCACTAATTGATATGCGACCAAAAGAGGCGATATGCATACCACCTGTTCCCATGAGTGCTACTATAGCACATGTACGTGTGTATGTATGTATGTGTGTAAAAAGTTTAAAATTTTAAAATATTCGTACTTATGTTTGTACGTGTACGACTGTGTCATATCGGCTTTGAAAACAAACAAAACAACCTGTTAGGCAGCAGCGTGTACAGTTTTCTAGTTTTGAGCCAGTATGTAAATGCGAGAGGCGGGTTCAACTTACGAGCGCACTAGTATTGGCATACTGAGGAAAACTTATTTTACTCTATTTTGATTTTTATTTTCTCTTTTTTTTTGAAGTCACTCTAACACTTGAAGTGTGTTTGTAGTTTAATGCCTTGTTTACAAAAGTTCCCATGAACAAAAACTCTAAAGCTTTGACAGTTTTTTAAAGCTTGCAGTAGGCATTCTAACCGACCTGCCAAATATTTCAACCGAATGGCGAATATGTCAAATTAGTTTCTTGCCTAACAGATTCAAGCATATTTTTGCGCCGATATACAAACCTGTGCATTTCCTCTATAAATTTTACTAGATTTATGTATGTAAATATTCGCCATGCAATCTCCATGGCCCGTATCGTAAGTTTACATAAAACTCATTAATTTAAATTTTAACGTGCCACTCTATCATTTTCCAGCGCTTTATGGCACACAAGCGACAAAATTGCCGACTACTGTTCGGGCAACGTACTAAGGCCATCGTAACTTGAGTGGCCACTCGAGCAATGGCGGTGATAAATTTTTGTGTCGCTTAAGTAAAGTATGAGGTACACAGATCTACATACATACATATGTATGTATGTAAGCATATGTGTACTCCCTAATGACACAGCGATGCAACTCAAGAATTCCTCGCTCACTTGTAGTGTCAAATGCACTCTAAATCCTTTCGAATTATTTACACCTATGAGGCAATACTTAATTTCTTTACTAAATGATTACTTTCGTTGAAGATAATTAATATTGGCGTGCAAGGTAATCTCATAGGAAACCCAGATCAGATTCTTGCCAGGTATTTACATGCAAATGCACATAGATAGTTAAATATGTATGTATGTATATTGGAGGATGTGCACTCCTACCCTTGGCTCTATTCTGCCCTTAAAATCCATCAACAGACCTGGTCTGGCCCCAGGCAAACCCAAAAATTTCAAATGTGATGCCTCTTTCTATCGACCGCCTCGCATTCTTGAAGAAGGTGCCATAGGGTTTTTGTCGCTGCATCGTAGTAATGACAGGATTCACCAGAGGAAATCTCTTAGTTTTGCAACTTTTTATCTTCCTTGATATTAAGTGGTGGTATAAATAGCTAGCAAGGGCTCTGGTCTTATTAGCCGGGTAGTTGCTGCCTTCGTTGCCACTCTGTCCGATTCCTCCGTAACTTATCTGCATTTATGATCTGGTGCCCACATCAGCCGTATTGTGTGGTGTTCCCTAGAGTTTTCAATGCCTCTACATGATCTATTTTCACTTGGAGATTGGGCTTTTAGTGTAAGTTGACTATCGCTGGAAATAGCAATTATCAGGCCACTGCTGTTGCCTGTTCCTTCCCTCGAGAAGTTGGAGACGGCTCCCTTTGCAGTCTGCTCTATGACTACGTTCAGGTGCGTCAGGTCGGGAATGACCTACAAGGCTACGGTGGTTCAAGTCTTTGAAGACGGTTGGTTCGGACCATGCCACCGTTCAGTGTGCGTTGGTTTACATCCACTGCAGGAAATAGGGGTAGTACACTCCTGATTTTGTATTCTGCACATGTTGGAGTCAGCGCGAGCGTTATAGGGCGAAGGCCTGGGAGATATCTTAGTCTGTAAGAAGGGATGATGGCATCCTCCCTGTGGGCCGCTTTGGCTGTATGATTTTATTTGCTACTACATACTGTTTCTGCCAATCTGGTTGAAAGGACCTCGATGACGAACTAGACGAAGTTCCCCTCTAATTTTTGCCTCTACTACTTCAGTTAGAATCTTGAGCCTGAAATACCGTATTTTCTTCGATGAAACACGTGCAATTATGCATTAAAATATAACAGGCAATGGCATAGTTGGGAATGTACTCCTAAATCTCCAATTAAAACTTTCTTCTCATTTGCTATTATGAGACTTTTTTTAAATCAGCAAAAATTGGCCAAACACCCAATAAACGATGATAATATCCTTTTGTACACAGCAATCCTTTTTCGGTGTTTCTTTTTACTACCCTTTTTATCGCTCAGTAAATCATCCCGTTTTATTTCATCTATTTCACTTTAATTAAAACTTTTTGTGGCATTCTAGGTGTCACGAACTTTGCAAATTTTATTTACATTCCAACTACTTTAGTTTTTAACGCAGATTTTATTTTCCACTTTACCACCCCCTCCCTTCTCAATGGAAAGGCGCCCGAAGTAGTTTCCCATCGCTCCACCAACAATTAAAATAATTAGTGGCATTTTAATGAGTCGCATTACCGAGTAAGTGCCGCATACGCCCTTTTTAAATTAAATTAATTCTCAGCTTAGGTAAACATTCGGTGACCAGCTTTGCATTCTAATTGCTCGCTTTCGTTTGCTTCCAGGCACCTACCTTTCTATTTAGTTGTAGCAGTAAGGGCGATTGGCAAGAAAACAAAAGTGTAACGCAATAAATTTTTGAAACGAAAATCGTGTGCAATAAATTCATCAGCTAATTTGTATGCCGCATTAAATGAATAAAAATATCTTTGTGTAATAAACAATTTATTTGCATTTATTGCTAAGATTGCTTACCATCCCCCCTTAGCAATTAAACTATTTTGTGTTATAAAATTTAATGAATATGCATTGGGATTATGGATGATAAATGCGGCACAAGATTTTACTAAAATGACAGCTTACAAAAGTGAGTGCATTTCAGGAATTCTGGGCGGCATAAATTATTCTAATTAGACAAGTGGTGAGTTTCAGATTTGTGCTTTACATTTTTGATTACTCATATGATATGTGGGATTGTAGTAGTCACAAAAAATGTACATAATAAATCCTAAAGTACCAACTTTTTTTAAACTTTTCATCAACATTGTTGACCTTGATTCGTTTGGCGAAAACTTATGGCGTTTTCTTTTCTACAAAAAATGTTGCCCTCTCATTGCCGTTTCCTTAGTATTTGTGCCTGGTAGAAAAGAAAAAGCCATTATATTAAGGTGGAAAAGTATATTTCCCCTTCTGCTAGTTTTCATAAGAATTTAAAAAAAAATTTGATTCAAATAAATGACTGTAAATTCTTGGTAAATAATTTTTTAATATCCAGAAAGTATAAAACTAAAACCAAAACAGATTTTAAAGTTTATATTGCAACAATAAATTAATTCCTTATATTATAAGATTTTCAACTGTATTTGCCTTCGCATAGAGCACGTGCAACTTGTACAGTAAAAAAAAAAAACAATCTAGCGAAACTTGAAAATTTTCTCATGACTTCACTCTTCTTCTTACCATTGCATTGTACGTAAAATTGCAAATTACCCACTAAGTCAAGGTTTAGCTAGTTAATGTCTTGTGCACACGCTTGAATGAATCACACCGCTAAAAAAGTAAAAGTAATATCAACTCGCATATAATTTTTTTTTTTTTTTACTTGATTAACACTTTTAGCTCTATGAAGTTTACTTAATTTCCTTAAATAATATGTATGTGCTACTAAAAAACGCTTTTACTTTTTCGCATTGCAGTCGAGGCTTTGCTGAAATGTTGGCGCTGTTCAACTGATGTCTCCAATGGTGCCTTCTGCGATGATCCCTTCGATCCAGAATTTATTTCCGATCAACAACGCTACTGGAGCTATGTGAATTGTTCATATTCGGCGGGTTATAAGTCGGTGAATGCTCGGCCTGTTTGCAAGAAGCTGGTACAAGAAGGTGAGTATGTCGAAAAATATTAAAGAAAATTTGAATCAATCCAACAACTGCCCGTAATCGAATGTACATATGTATGTAGTTGCCTCCACATTTTAGAAACTCGATACCAGTAATAATCATAAATATTTGCTGTTTACAAACACTCGAACAAAAGGCGCATGCGTACGTGACGGGCATTCGAAAGTGGAGGCATTCGCGGTAGTTTTTGTTTATTGTTTTTTTTTTTGGACTGACTTTATTACAATCATATTTTGGTTTTGTAAAATATTTAGGTTTAATTTATGTAAGGAAAGCATATTTTATTGACAACCAAAATTTATAGCCAAGTGACACACTTAAGTACCTGGAAAGAAAGTATTCGGTAAATCTATTTGATTTTACATTTCTCGATGGATATTTATTTAAGTATATCTACCGAAACCGTGGGACAAATATGGTAACACTGCGTTTTTAGTTTTTCTCTCTGATGTCAGGATTTTTTTAAAAGGACTTTGAAATTTTAAAAATATTATTACTTCAAAAAATTATTTGAAAAAAATTTTGTCTAAAGTAGGAAAAAACAGCATTATTAACATTAAGTCCGATTACACTTTTTTTTTGTACATAAGGAGAATTAAGTATTGAAAGTTTCCTTTTAAGATTTTATCCTTTATTATTCTTGAAATTTTACAATAAATATTTTTGAAAAAATCATATGTTAAAAACTAATATACACTCGACCACGTCCTCGAATTTTCAATACCTATTCGTCCTAGCGAAACAAAAAGCTTTAATTTGTTTAAATTCCAAAGAATATTCTGGTTCGCGAAAATCCTCCGGCAGAGCCCTCCACGTGGGCGCCGACTGGTAATGGTCATTACATTTTAAATTATGTACGATGTCAGAATGGTGTCCAGCAAAAATCAGAAATCAGTGCTTTGTGCTCAAGCTCCTCAATAATTTAGTTATACTGAAATGGTTTTTGATCTTGAAAAATGCTCTGAGTTTGAACAAAGTGTTAGACGACCCGTGCTGATGTTCACAGGGGCTGCGGATTCAGAATAATAACTAGTCCAGTCTCGAACGGAGTGCTCCTGATACCTGGCGGCCTCCGGTTCTATATGGCCTTTGTTGCGCACACGGACAGAATTTTCTCTTCCATTTGGTGTCCATATTGTAATTTTACATTGTACTGAATTTTTTTAAATAATTTTTAGTATAAGTCATATTATTGAAACTACAAAGTCCCACTAAAAATGCAGTGTTACTTTATGTGGCCCACAGTTTGGTTGCTTTTTTTGTTTCGAAATTATTTTATTGTTGTTGCACGGTGGTATATGAGGTTAGGTTGATATCTCCCCATCTGACAAGGTAGGGCCGATCCCTCCTGGGCGACCAGAACTTCCGTCTGATATACACTTCATTGATCGGGCAGTTAAATAATCTCAAATCTAGGTTCAGGTGAGAGAAAACCCCTTCTCCGACTTTCCCTTATAGTCTGTTGGCAACTTTGTAAAAGTTGATAGCATTAAGTGAGTGGGCGTATACGACAGTCAAATAGTTGACGCCTTGCCTATTATAGCAGAATGGCCTATGGTTCGTTCACTCGATCCATTAGCCGGCTCCTTTAGGTCTTACCCCACGTCAACGGCCACCTCCAGAGAAAAGTGCAAAGCCGCATTTACGGCTTCAGTAGTAGTAGTGAGTTGTCAAGCGGGGACCCGCTTATTCAAAATTCTGCTCTTTTTTTGTATCTTTTGTAGGCCACTTTATGACAAAGTGGTTGGATGCACTTCAACTTTGGTATTTCAAAATTCGCCAACGACTATATCAAATACCGAACTTTTACAAATTGCAAGTTTAACAGCCAAATTAGTAGCAATTAGTCTCTGTTTGGTCCGCAGCAACTGTGTCCAAATGAAGATACTTGCAGTTGCGGAAAAGTGGAACTCGAAAATACCAAAGCAACTCGTTCGAGTGCGCGTACGGCGTACATATGTACATATGTATGTACGTGGGGAACACCAAATATATATCAAGGCCTAGTTTGAATGGCTTAGCTACAAATTGATTTGGCATGAAAGCCGCGGTGGTCTACAAAAGCAAAAATTAAATTTGACATATTTACGAGTGTACGTTGCTTGTTCGCTGTCCGCTATTTTCCTATACTTATCCGCGCGTTTGTTGTCGAAACGCCAAAGAAATTAAAATTTATTTAGCTGCATAATAATTGTAGAGAAAACCAACCAACCGCATTGGTTAGGTGCAATTGGAGTGGGTGACGCTGACACGAGCACATACACCCTCACAGCCGCACAAACAAACGGAACAAATATTTGAAACGTAGGTAGTCAATTTTGTTGCGCCTGTTTATCACCTCTTTGTCATAATGTGCACCCTCTCTCACTCTCGCCGCCACAGCACCTCAAGTGCTCCACTTGTAATGCTTTTGCAAGCTATCGCTTTTCGGGTTTTCGAAAATTCATGCGATGCCTTACCAAAGGGTCGCCCGCCGACACTCGGTTCACAAATCCAGTCGTGTTGCTTGCTGGCTGCTTACATGTGGCGCTAATTTGTTGCAATTTATTGCACCATTTCGCCCGCCAGCAACGCCATCGGCAGCCCACGGCGGGCAACAAATTCGCTTTATCATCGCCGAATCGCAAGAGTCGTGACACCGTCGCCAACGCCGCCAACGCGTTCGCTCTTGATTTGTAGAAGTATTTGTAAAAACAGAAAATGTGTTTGCATGTCTGTCTGTCTGTCTGTCTGTATGTATATTTGAATGCATTTATGCACTGTACAAATGTAGTAGACAGTTGTATGGCTGTGCGTGGAAATTCGTATGCATTGCTCGCTGTTTCTGTTGCTGTTGCTGACCTGTTGCTGTCCGCGTGTAATGCATTTTTGTTGATTGTTTGGTATTTTTGCTGTTTTTTTATTTACACTTATCTTATTTACTTTTGTGTATATGTTTACCGTCGCTTTTTTATTGCGGCAATTTCCATTTTATCGCACATGCAACAAATTTTAGTTTACATCTTCATTGCATTCTAAGGCTTTTAGTGAAAGCTCAAGCTCAAGTGAATTTGCAAGACTCTTGATAATAAAATGCTTTGATGTAACGAATGGTTCGTCAAGTGTAAAAATTCTATTAGTTGAGATATTTTATAATCATAAATATTTAAAAGGAACTAGTTGGTAGAAAGTAACGAAGAGAAGGACTTGGGTTCACTTGGCATTTCCAATTGGCGTCAGTTGGCACTTGTTAATCGACTAGTCGACTTAATCGATTTTCAAAAGTGGTTTAAAAAATAATCGACCACCTAATCCACTTATCGTCTTCTTTCGACTTTTTCAACTAACTCTAGCAAATAACTAGTTGACTAACTCATTCATTTTCGAATTTTCAAATAAAAATTTCATTACAGTACCTCCATATCAGGCAGTTTAGTAGCCTTTTGTGATAAAAACCAATAGAAAAATTTGCTTGATATTCGGCCCTATTATGGTCGTCGATGTCGATGTAATTTTTGCATCAATCCTCGTAAGTCCAACTCCAGCTACGCTGACTACAGTATTTTTGTGAGGAACACCTTTCCTCAAAATACTGTGGTCAGCGTAGCTGGAGTTGGACTTACGAGGGCGACGTCGACATCGACAACCATAATAGGGTCTATCATTTTATCTGTAAATAACGGGTAATGTTGGCCTTTTCCTAAAAATCACGAAAGTCCCAAAAAAGTATTACGGATATCATAATCTATATTCCAGGCTACTTATAAGCGGGCAAATACTTAATATCCTTAGGTCCAGAGGTTTCCTCCGCTAGTCGATAAAACCTGCATTTCGTCTCCTTAGAGAGTCCGAATTTATAAAGACATAAGGGTTGTCCGCAGTATCCTGTTAAGTATCCAGGCCGAGTTCTTAGCCTCTCGCGGTGTTATGAGGCTCTTAGATTGTCTTTTACCCTTTCTTATATGCAAGTGGGAGGCAATCTTATAGTCCTCTCAATATCTTAGAAACTCTGCGGTACATCGCTTAGATGGACCACATGAAGACTAATTGCCAAACAGGCCCCGTTTAGTTCCACATTTCAAACCGAGCCCTCATGACCTATAATCCGCCTAACTTGTGGTAATTTATGTGTTTTAATAGTCGTTCTATAAAGTACAGACTCCAGTTCTGAAAATTTCCGCCTGAAATAAGGTTGGGCATGTGTCCACTATTAAACTTATCTGAAACTTAAGACCAAATACGCCAGCACAGGTATTCCCATCATTAAGTTTGGATCGGTCAGATGACTCCAGAAGTCTCCGGTGAGGGCCACACATACCATGTCATGTAGCTTATCTACTTGAATTTCCGTCACGAACCTTGTGGCTTTAACGCCGTACTTAATGACCAGTATATCAATGTAATGATAAGTGACAAGCATATTCCAGTAATACAAATATTTATTTATGGTATACAAAATGCGATGAAAATTACGAGAGAAGTAATACTCTTCAATATGCGCTGACATAAAATGCCCTAGGCTAATCGTGCCTAAAACCAACAAACGATTATGGGCTTGGTCAGTTGCCGATTTAGTCGCATCGGCTTCAAAAATCAGGCCAAGAGAGGTTATTCATTCATTCATTACGCCTCCAACGAGGCATCTTAACACCTACTACCAGAAGTGGTAATAAATAACACGTGTCTTAAAGGCGTTGTCAATACTCCGAATTACGGATATCAAGAATCCAAGAGGTCCTTGGCCAAGAGGTTTTTGGCTTGCATTTCATACAATGTACGTCTATTGTTCTTACTAGTCACATAACTGGGTGCTCTTCTATAATTGTACATACATACATCGCAAAATCAAGTTTGATAATTTTGGCTGCTGTCGTTCAGTGTACCTTAAAGTCGAATACATGTATGTATATTGCGGTGATCCTTAAAGGTGGGAAGCAAATTTTTACATCTGATTTCCTAATCCCCAACCCCTACCTCGATGCTACTATAGTCGCAGATATCAC